ATCTATAACAATCACACTTACAGTCATGTTACATATGTTTTCAAGGTCAGAGATATATTTTAAATAGATAGATGGTCTTCAAACACTTCAAAGACCTACAGAATATGGCATTTTGATGTTTTGATAACATAAGGCTTTTCATGACAGAGAGACATGTCTGCTCCAAGCAGCATCAATTTACTTCAAAAGAGGATGATGGGCATCAAAGAAACTCCATATGGAGTTTGCTTTCTTTGTGGCAAAAGCTAACAATTGGGCAAGAAACTGCCCTTGCCTCTCCTGCTGACAACATGCTGTCCAAACTGGACAAATAGGATACAAAAGGAAGTGACTACTGAACTTTGCCAAGACAGGGTAGGACAGTCCTTTAAAAATTCCTGCTTCACAGAAAAGTCTGTCAGATATTCTAGGCCTATAGGCCAAAGAAGGATGCCCCAACATTGCAGAGGAACCTTGGTTGACTGTCCAGGCAGTCAGCTGTTTCTGTCATTTCTATAGTTTTGAAAGTTGCTTGCTTGCCGGGCGGTGGTGGCGCACGCCTTTAATCCCAGCACTCGGGAGGCAGAGCCAGGAGGATCTCTGTGAGTTCGAGGCCAGCCTGGACTACCAAGTGAGTTCCAGGAAAAAAACCAAAAAAAAAAAAAAAAAAAAAAAAAAGAAAGTTGCTTGCTCTGAACTTTCTGTTTACTCAGGTAATGTTATATCCTTCTCAGGTCTTTGATGGAGTTGAAGACAAGATAGTTATGGTTACAGTTACAGTTTTCTTGGTTACCAAATTCAAAAAAGAAACTCACAAAAGAGATATAAAATATACAAAGTTGAGAGACATAAAAGCTTAAATTGTTTATCTAAGAAAATGTCTTGAGGTCTCAAAAGTTAGTTTTAAGATGGCTAATACAGTTATGATAGAAAATGGTTTAGGTATAAAACTTTAAATTCATCAAGCTAAGATAGATAATAGAGTATTTTCTCTGAATATGCTAAATACAAATGGACTGGACATTGTGAATATAATTTTTTTTTTTTGGTTTTTCAAGACAGGGTTTCTCTGCAACAGTCCTGGGTGTCCTGAAACTCTCTTTGTAGACCAAGTTGGCCTTGAACTCACTGATGAATATAATTCTTACCTGATAATTGTTCTTATTGTTTATAGTTTTATTATGTTAGAGTTAAAACCTTTCCTTTTTATTTAGACAAAAAGGGAGAAATGTTGTGGAATATTTCTTTACATTGTGTAAAGATGTGTCACTGTGATTGGTTTAATAAAGAGCTGAATGGCCAGTAACTAGGCAGGAAGAGGTTAGGAGGGAATTCTGGGGACAGAGAGGACTTGGAGAGGAAGAAAGGCAGATTACCAGCTAGATGCAGAGGAAGCAGGATGGGCAGTGCAGAGTAAAGGTAACCAGCCATGCAAAAGAACATAGATTAAAAAATACGTGTTAATTTAAGTTATAAAAACTAGTTAGGAACAAGCCTAAGCTAAGGCCAACCTTTTATAATTAATTATAAGTCTCAGTGTCATTATTTGTGAGCTGGCAGTCCTGACAAGAAGTTTTGTCTATAAGAGACAGAGACACAGAGAGAGCGAGAGCATACTAGCTAACTAGGAATGGAAATGGTGTGGGCTTTTGAAACCTCAATCCTAATGACATACCTCCTCCAACAAGGCCACACCTCCTAATCCATCCCAAACAGTTTCACCAACTGGGAGGGACCAAGTATTCAAATATATGAGCCTATAGGTACCATCATCATTCAAACCACCATGCTAGATTAGCCACACAATCATGGCAATCCTCCTTTCTTAGCTTCCTAATTTCTGGGCTTCCAGTCATGAGCCCCCATATTGGTTCTTTCCGGTCTTTGTGTCTGCTTCAGTTTCATCCAGCTTCTGTTTGCTTTTTGCAGGGGATATAATGCAGGGCGCAGTGCACACTAGGCAAGTTTTCCATCACTGAGCCACACCCTCAAACCTTTCCCGGGTCTTCTGTTAGCTTACCAGTGAAAGGAGTGAGGTGTGTAACTAAACACCCCGGAGGGTGGGGTGTGGCATTTGTGGCAGCTGTTGTGTAAGCTCACAAGAAGGGGACTAAAAACTACTGAAGTGTATTCTCTCTCGTGTTCTTGAGGCCAAAGGTGCAAAGTCCCAGCAATTAATGCCAGGTCCCTTTGGAGCCTTAGGAGACGGCCTATGACTCTTGTAGCTTGTAGAGATGACTGCCTGCCGTTCTTAGCTTCCTGAAGTAGCAGTGTGGCTCCAGTCTCCACCTCTTGTCTTTCTGTGGCCCTCTTGTCTTCATGTGTCTCAAATCGCTCCTTCCTCTTTTTGCATGTTAAGACAGACTCTGTGTAGCCCGAGATGGCCTCTAACTCTTCTTCCTCCTGCCTCAGCATCTCAGTGCCAGGATTGACAGCCTGTGCCACCATGCCTGGCTCCTCTCCTCGAACATGGACCTCCACTTATGGGGTCGAGGACAGTCCCTAATTCCAGGGTGATCATATCTTGAGATCCATGACTTACTGATGCCTGCAAAGTTTTTATTTCCAAATAAGGATAAGCCCATAGTAGAAGGCGTTAGACCAAGTAGGGCCCAGTTCAGCCCACTACAGACGGATTCTTTCTTGTGCCACACTAACCATGAGAAGGCCAGGGGAGGGAGCCCATACTTTGGCATTCAGGAGTATTTTCTGCAGACCAAGTGCTAGAAGGGCCCCTTGACCCAGGAGAGGAGGAGAAGCTGGTGGCTCCACTCAGGGAAGTGTTTCTTTCAACTGAGGGTCTGAGGTTTCGCTTTGAGGCACCAGAGCTCCAGAAAGTGCCTCAGGCCGTATCCCCAGTAATATGGATTCACAACATGCCCCCATGGTTGGGTATGGTCGTGCCTGCCCAGCAGGACCTAATCACTTCTGCCTAGTCATATCCAGGTCAAAACGTCTCCCGTGACCAGGACCCATAGCTTTTCGTAGTTGCACATGTGTGGAATAGCCACATGGGCCTGTGTGCGCAGGCGCGGCCCAGCCTTTATAAGCCGGGGCCATGATTCCTGGCCCCACTTCACTCATGTGTCTTTCCACAGGCCTGTGCACATCTGTCCCTCTCCCTTATCTTAATAAAACTCTTGTTAGTGGATTCTGTCGTATTTCATGACATTTCCTCTCAGGGTAAGAGTGCTGCAAATAACCCAACACCCAGGGCCCAACTATCATTTTCTTTCTTTCTTTTTTTTTTTTTTTTTTTGGTTTTTCAAGACAGGGTTTCTCTGTGTAGCTTTGGCACCTTTCCTGGAATTCATTCTGTAGCCCAGGCTAGCCTCGAACTCACAGAGATCCGCCTGCCTTGGCCTCCTGAGTGCTGGGATAAAAGGCCTGTGTCACCACCGCCCGGCTCCAGCTATTATTTTCATATCCCCCTTCCTGCCTTTCCTCTCAGCCCATCCTCGGGGGTATCAGTCCTCTCCAGGGAGTCGGTTGGGAGGTTCTCCTACCATTGTGATAAAAACCATCTCCCTGCCAGTCTGGTCGTTGGTCGTGGTAGCTCATGAGGCCTTTAATCCCAGCAGAAGTCAGCATAGAGCTTGGTCTCTGTAGCTTGGTCTAGCTCCTGGGTTCCATGTTGATCATCAGGGCTGTGTAGAGAGACCTTGTCTCAAACAAACAAACAAACAAACAAACAAACAAACAAACAAAAACAAGCCACCAGAGTGGCATAAGACTCCCCCCCACCTTCGTCCTTCCCGCTTGCCGTCCACTGTACCCCTTCTCTGACCCCCTTCATTGAATGTTTATTGTTTCTTGCCTCAGGTCTTAGCTCGGGCGCTTCTTCTGGAACCTTCCCCCACCCCCATCATCCTTCACGGTTAGACTTTTCTCTAGCACACTCTCAGCCACTTTTTCCCTGCCCCCCTCACTCCATCCATCCCTTATTGTGTAGAGCGTGGAGGGCAGGGCTCCGCCATCTCTAGGATCTGGCTTGTAATGTGCCCTTGGCCTTGACTTCCTCCTCCCTTCTGCCTTCTCCACCAGACCCACGGGACTCTCCAAAGAGCCCAAGGTGAGTCCTGGGACCTAATCAATAGCCAAGGATAGGATCAATGATGCAGAGGCTTCTTCCCCAGGGACCCCGGGTCCCCAGCCCTAGACAGCATCACAGCCATTCTGCCTTCAGTCCCCAGTGTAGACCAGAGCAGGGTGATGCCAGGCAACTCTCCCTCCAGCTTCGCTCAGCCCCCCCCCCCCCCATTTCCAGTGTGGGTCTATTGCTCCAGCTGTTTTCTTTTCAGATCTGGAGTTCAACAGAACAACAGATCTAGGTGTGGCAGCCACAGGACACAAAGCTGGCAGGCTGGATCCTGTCTGCTCAGCCACAGGCCTGCAGGGTACTGCTTACCTCTCTCGGCTGGGTCCTGGGAGGAGATGGCTCTGGTTCTGGTTCTGTGGGCCTCGAAAGCCAGTGTGTCCTGGAAACAGTGGCTCCAGGAGAGGCCAGGCCAATTCAGGACCCAGCAGGGGGAGGGAACAGCCGGGTTTAATTAGAGCTTTAAAAATGTTCTGAAGAAAGCCGATTTAGACGTCCTCAGCCCTGCGGGGCAGGGCTGGCATAATAATAATAAAACAACATTTGCACGGAGATTTCATTTTTCATTTACAAAGCACTTTCTGGGCCGGGGGTAGGGGAGGCTCTGGGGTGGCCCAGCGGATTCCTAGCTGGGAGGTCACACACACCCCCCTCCCTCCCAGCCTTGGGTTGGTTCCACCCTCCATCCAAGTTTACAATTGTGATTGCCTGCAGGGTAAACAAAGGGCCCTTCATACAACTGTTTCCGATTCTTCTGGCCTTCATTCCTTTCGCCCTCTTCCAGGAAGAGCACACTTGAGGCTTGTCATTGAGTCTAGAAAAGAGGCTCAGAGGGCCTTGTGAGAAGGGAAAGTGGCTGGGACCTAATGGAGGAAGCTTTCCTCTGTCCCCCACCCCCACGCACCCCACCCCACCCCACGCTCAGGCAGAATATGGCACTGCTGTGGTAGGTTAGTGCCAATGTCTCCTTTGCTCACCTGTGGCTATGACCCCCACAGACACCATGGGAGCACTAGTTTGGCTTGGCTATGTTCGGTGGTGATAGACAGAGATAAGCAGGTGTGAGTCTGCCAATCCCTCCCCACCTGAGGATGGGAATTGTGTGAACAGTGTGGGGGCGTCAGGCCCTGGGGTGCTTGCACCTGCATGGGTAGGAGGGTTGAGGCGGCTGTGGGGCCTCTGTGGTTCACTCAGAGTCATATGCAGTCACCTGACCACTGGCACCCTGAAGGAAGGGGTAACCTGGGCCAGAGGGGGCAAGCATCAGATAGGGCTTGGCCCCTTAAGTGCTGATGGATTAAATAGGAGCCACCTGTAGGGACTCTAGCAGTTTGGCGCGATCCCCCGTGAGAGACTGAAGATGGAGGAGGTCATCGCGGGGCTGGAAGGGTTCACGTTTGCCTTTGAGCAGGATGTGGAATTGCAGAAGGGCACTGGGCTCCTGCCTTTCCAGGGCATGGACAGTGAGTGGCAATGGCATGTTCCCCTACCCAGGTCCTTGCGGAGCTCTTCTCTCTGACTTCCTTCTGTCTCTCCTACAAGGCTTCTGGGTAGTTCACTGTCCAGGATAGAAAGGCAGATTTCCGAGCTCCCCACTGGCCTCCAGGGCTCCCTCCCTGGCTGTCCCCAAAGACTTGCACCTCCTCTCAGAGATGGGTTGAGTTTAAGTGGAATGTAGAGACTGGTTCTGGAAGGTCAGGGGTCGGGGTGGGGGGAAGGGCTTGGGTAGAGGGTGCCTTTGACTCACAGTCGCCACAACAGGAGACAAATGACAGATGCTTCTGATGGCAGAAACTGTGGCCAGAAAGAGGCGGAGACAGGAGGATGACTATGAGTTCCAGGTCAACCTGGACTGCAGAGTCAGACCTTGTCCCGTAAACAAACAAACGAAGAAACAAGTGAACAACACGAGAAACAAAAGCCCAAAGATGGCAGCCCGAGAGAATGCTTGGGGGCTCGCACAGATCCAAGCCCGCAGGAGGCTTGGGTGGGACTAGCTGAGGAGGAACTTGAGGCTCCCTGGCAGGGAGCTCAGCTCTGGGGAAGCTATCGTCTCCTCTGTTTCCTTCTCCAGAGTCCAGCTCAGCTGTGTGCAACTTCTTCGCTAAAGGGCTCTGTGGGAAAGGTGAGTGAGGTAGCCTGGGCTGGGCAGGAACAGGGATGGCCGTGTGGACCAGCCGGGGTGTGGGAGAGAGTGTGAGATCGGCACCTGGGGTATCCAGCCTCATGAGGAGAGCAGTGGCCTGGGGGTGGCCCACCCCCTGACATTTGTACCAGGGTCATGGGGCTACCCCATTCCCTTCTTTAAATTATGTGTGCCTGTGCGTGGGTATGCAAACGTGAGCACGTGTGTCCTTGGAAACAGAGGTGTTGGATCTGTCTGGAACTGTAGTTACAGATGGTTATGAGCTACCTGCTGTGGGGCTGGGAACCAAACTCAGGGCCTCTGGAACAGCAGCTGGTGTTCTTAACCACTGAACTATCTCTCCAGCCCTGATATTCTCTTCCTATTGGAGGTAGTGGTGGGTCAGGGCCTTTGGCCTGTGTTCTCAGGCTTCAGTCCTCCTCAGTCTAACCCATCCTCTTCCCAACCTTTTTAAGTGCCCCTTAAATTCAAGGTTGATTCCCCACCTTGAGTCACCATGGAAACTGACGCATCATCCCAGCTGTTTCTTCTGCCCTTAGGTAGTCTCTTGAGTGATAGCAACCGCTGCCCCAGGACCTCCCTCTCAAATCCCTCCCCAAATGTAGCCCGACCTGCCCCCAGGCTTCTGGCCCTCTCTCCTGGATTGTGGATCACTTTGAGGTTCCTCCAACAGAAACATACAGTTGCCAAAATACCTTGCCCCTAATAGGAGGGTCCCCCCGCAAAGCCTGCCTATGGATCCAGGTGAAGAGGTTCTTAGTGGGGTGCCTTGGGGACCCCTAGTATTCCGTTCCTAAAAGTCAAGAGGGAGGAGGTCAGGCAAGGAGGGCCTGGAGCCTGTGTGTCCACTTCTGGATGGTTGGATGACAAGGGAAAGGAGCTCAGTGGCCACCCAGGGCTCTGGGCAACCAGCACCTTCCAGGTCCATTACAGACCAGGTCATTGAGGAGTCGTCAGACTCAAAGAGACGGCTTCTTTCTTGCAAAGAAATCAAGCTGCTATTGAGGAAGGTCATAGCATCAGGGATGGCCAGAAGTGTGTGTGCATGTGCGTGGGGGAGGGCGAAGGGGCACTTAAAAAGGACGCCCTGGTCCTGCATGAAACAAGTCCTGTTTAGACACAACCCTCCCTTCTGGTGGCAGTGTCTTCTAAATAAAGATACTGAGGTGGCCAAATCTAACTTTTCTAGTGCCTGACCGTTGTAAGAGACACCTATTTCATGTCTGTGTTCTGTCCTGGAACTCACTCTGCAGACCAGGCTGACCTCAAACTCACTGAGATCCGCCTGTCTCTGCCTTCCGTGTGCTGAGATTAAAGGCGTGTGCCGCCACCACCCGGCAGGCTGGGTTGTTCTCAATATTTGAAGTCACGAATGCATGATGAGCAGGTAGCTTAACATGCATTAGGCCCGTGAGCCCTAGCATGCATGCATAAACTGAGCATGGTGGGCCATGCCTGTAATCTCAGCACTCAAGAGTTGGAGGCAGAAGGATCAGAAATCCAAGGTCATTCTTGGCAATGTAGTAATTTGAGACCAGCCTGGGCTACATGAGACCCTGTTTCAAAAACTAAGAGAGAGGATTCGGCAGCTAAAGGCACTTGCTTCTCTTGCAGAGGACCCTGCCGCAATTCCCAGCACCCACCTGGCAGCTCACAACAGTCTGTAACTCCAGTTCTAGGGGATCAGATGCCTCTTCTGACCTCCAAGGGCTCCTGCACACACAATGTGCACATACACACACAGAAACACATAAAAACAATTTTTTTAAATAAGGAAGAAACAAATCCAGAACATTTCCCTCCCTGCAAAAGTCATGAACACAACAAGCCCTTAGGGTATGCCAAGAGCTGGGCTGGGTATGGCCTTGACTGGGTATGGCATGGAGTGAGGCGACTGCTCTGTCATGGGAGAGGCATCCTGGAGGTTCCTGGGTTTGGCTCTGGGAGATGGGCCCGCCATCTCTTAAGATAGCCTCTTGCCCAGGGTGGTCCTCTGCCCCGTTCCATCCCTTCCTGGGTTGTCTAGGTGATGGGACACTGAGGTGACAAAGATGTGGGGAGCAGCCTCACAGGCCCTGGGGACCCCTCCAGGCAGGCTAGGTGAGGCCTACAGCAGGTGCCGTGTTCTGCAGGGATGCTGTGCCCGCTTCGGCACGAGACGGGCGAGAAGATGGTGGTGTGCAAACACTGGCTCCGAGGCCTTTGCCGAAAGGGGGATGGTTGCAACTTCCTGCACCAGTACGACGTCAACAAGATGCCGGTGTGCTACTTCCACTCAAAGTTCGGTAATGCACTGCCTGGTTTGTGTGGGGGTGGGGAGGGAGGGGTAGAAGAGGCCCAGAAGGCCAGCCTTGTCTGACTGAGCCCAAGCCGCCTGCTTCTCTGAACCCTAAGAAAACAGAACCAAGGCTGGGCCCAGTGGGGCATACCTCTAATCTCAGCACTAGGGAGACGGAGGCAGGAGAAACCGGAATTCATGGCCAGTCCCAGCTACAGAGAAGTTCAAGGGTAGCCTGGACTACATGAGACCTTGTCTGAAAACAACAATAACAACAACAAAATAATAATAAAAAAAATAGGGTCAGTTGAGGTGGTGCACTTTAACCCCAGCACTCAGGAGGCAGAGGCAGGCCGATCTCTGAGTTTGAAGCCATAGTAAGTTTCAGGCCAGCCAGGGCTACACAATGAAACTGTCTCAAAAATAAACCAGTATGGGGCAGGAGAGGTGGTTCAGTGGTTAAAAGCACTCCCTGCTCTTCCAGAGAACCTGGATTTGGTTCCCAGAGCCCATAGAGCAGCTCACAGTTGCCTATAACTCCTGTTCCAGGGCATCTGACACCCTCTTCTGGCCTTCTCAGAGTCTAGGCACACACATGCTTCGCATACATACATGCAGGGAAAACACCCATACACATAAGATAAAAATAAACCTTTAAGGAACCAATAAAAAATAAAAGTAAAATGAAGGATGCAGAGCTGAGTCTGCCGTCTGTTAGTCTCAGCACGGCAGTTGCCTCAAAGGGAAAAGAATATTGTTCCACACTCCAGGCCCGGCTAACCCACACCCAGATGTCTGTCAGGAATAGCCTTGAAAGAGTCACTTCTCAATCCTGCTGGGCCCCGTCAGGCCTCACCACATGAAATGCATTTGGTAGCCGTGCTCAGAATGGTCACCAGTACCCAGGAGGCACCCACACCCCGTCTTCTTCCTGCTCTCCTTCTATTTCTAACTTTCATTTTAGATAAAAATGTCATGTTACCTCCCAAAGGGGAAAGCCTGCATCACTCGTTAGAAAGAGAAGGTCACTGTGTATATAAAGCCACAAAGTTCAGAAGTCTGGTCCCTAAAATTATCTTGTGTGGTCAGGTCTGCTCCAGTCTCCCTTGGGGCCTCAAGTCCTTCTTGGTCATCCAAGGCGCTATTTAGGGCTGATCCCCTTAAGTCACTGCCTAAAGCATTTTCACTTAGAAATGTCCTTTTACTCTCTCAACCCTGGGTTTCTTGGCTTGGTGATCAGACGTGGTACTGGAAACAGGAATGGGACCACATTTGCCTGTAAGTAATTCAGGGCAGATGTGTACACTCATGATTATATGTAACCCAAGGTTGTTTTTTTTTTTTAAGATTTATTTATTTTTATGTATATAGTGTTCTGCCTGCATGTATGCCTGCATACCAGAAGAGGGCACCAGATCTCATTGTAGATGTTTGTGAGCCATTATGTGGTTGCTGGGAATTGAACTCAGGACCTCTGGAAGAGCAGCCAGTGCTCTTAACCTCTGAGCCATCTCTCCAGCCCAAGGTTTTGCTCTTAACAGTGAGTGAATATCTATAATATTACAAAAATAATTATATAATTATAAGCTAGGTGTGGTGGTATATACCTTTAATCCCAGAACTCAAGAGGCAGAGAGAAAAAGGTCAATCTCTGTGAGTTCAAGGCCAGCCTGGTCTATGTAGAATTTCAGGCTAGCCAGGATTACGTAGTGAGACCCTGTCTCAAAACAACAACAAAACCATGAGAGTGCATGCTTGTAACCCTAGTTAGTATTTGGGAGGCTGAGGAAGGAAGATTCAAATTCAAAGGCTGCCTGAGCTATATAGGATGTCTTTTAAAAATCATGTATGTGTGTATGTATCATTTATTCTTCTTAGTCATATCAGGCTGGCCTCAAACTCAAAGAGATCCATCTGCCTCTGCCTCCCGAGTGCTAGGATTAGAGGAATGTGCCACCGTGACACACACACACACACACACACACACACACACACACACACACACACACACACGTTGTTGAGGGGCCTGGAAGCCAGAAAGCACATTTGGTTAGAGCCAGGATGTCCTGTGCTTGAAAGGAGTCAGGGTAGCTAAAAAGACAGAGTGGAGGCTGGAGTGTTGCTGCCACCTGCTGGCCTGGAGCAGATATAGCAATGTGCAGCTGGGAGGGACAGATAGGGGTATACCAATCCTGGACAAATTTCCTCACCATCCCCTCTTCCCCAGGTGTTGACCAACCCTATGCATGAGGTCGTTTTGAGTCTTAAAGAGGCTCAAACCCAGGGGACAGCACTCTACCAAGTTGGCTCAGGATGTGCCAATAAGTCCTTTTGGTGTGAGGAAGCTGATTGGTACTTGCCTCTTCCTGAGGGCTGGCATCCACGTTTGTAAAATGGAAGGGCTGGGAAGGAGAGACAAAACTCTTAGAAATCAAGAGAACCCTTCCTCAGGTGAAGTATCGTCTTGTAGAAAAGCCCCATGTATAAGATAACTCTCTGGCAGACCTTCTGAAGTTCCTGTTAGCTCCTGTCATAGGCCTTGAGGGAGGGTGAAAGCAAAAATATTCCACCGAAAGGAAGCAGAACAGGTCATAATCTTCTCTCTGCTTCAGATCTGCCTAAGGGAAACGTAAAAGCTGCAGCTGCCAGCAGCCTGTGCCTACAAGGCTGCCCCCTTGTGGAAATGCAGTGGAACAAGACTTGGTTTATCCCATAGATACTGCACAGCCTAGGCTCACAGCTAATGCGGTCCCTCTGAAAGGTGCCCACTGGACCCAACCGGAAGCTCTACTCTGTCCTTGGTATTTCTTCCAAAACACCCCTGCCCCTTCTTGGGCTCTGGAAATAGTGGAGGGTTCACAGTGGAGATTACTAGAGAGTAACTTCCTCTTCCAGTGGCAGAGGTCTTCCAAAGATGACGGACAAACAGAAGATGGCCAGGGGATTCCATGGGAAGGAGGGCCAAGGTAAACAGGGTGGGGATGCAGAAGTGGTCGTAAGGGTGAACCTGTTTATATACAGAGAATGTTGTTGGGCTTTTCAGGTTGCTGCAGCAACAAGGACTGCTCCTTCCTCCACGTGAAGCCAGCTCCCAAGACCCAGAGCTGTCCTTGGTATGACCAAGGGTTCTGCAAGGATGGTGAGAGCCCCATGGGCGGGGATGGGATGCACTGAGGGATGAGGGTGATCCAGATGGGGGTGCTCAGCAGGCGAGGAGTAATATTCCCCATGGGGGTTTGTGCCGTATAAATGCCCCCGTGAAAAGCCTTTCTGAAGTTACCCGAGGCTTGTATGCCAGTGGACACACTGGAAGATGCAGCCTGGCATAGGGCACAACAGGCTTCTCAGGCAGGACTGGGGGATGCATAGCCAACCCTTCTCAATGGGTGGATGTGGGACCTGGGCTGAGAAGCCTAGCAGAAGGTCTAGTGCATGAGAAACATAGCTCCCAGGAGCTGAATGCCACTTAAGTTCTAGCCTTTCCCCTGCTCCCAGCCACACTTAGAAGGTGAGGTCCCTAGGCCTTATGATCATGTGTCTTCTGGTGTGATTCTTAGCACTGGTTTGGGAGGGGATGCTGGGGAAAGGTGGCTTGAGCATGTTCTCACCTTCTTTGTGCTGGCAGAAGGCAAGGCTGGGCATTGGAACCCAGGGCCTGGAGCATGGTCAACCTGTGCTTTACCATTGAACCACATGCCCAGCCCTTACCTGAGCCAAGGTTTCTACCCCTGTCTGTCTCCTGGCTTCAGGGACATCAATGGCAGGAAGGCTTATTCACCCTATTTCCAATGGCAAGCTACCACAGCATGCTTTTCCTCACGAGCTATCATGTATACCCCCTCCTCTGAATGAAGCAGACTCTCTTGGCTATTTGCTCTTTGTCTACTAGGTCCCCTGTGTAAATACCGCCATGTCCACCAAGCAATGTGTCCCAACTACTTCACCGGCTTCTGCCCCAAGGGACCTAAGTGCCAGTTTGGGCAGTAAGTATGACTCATCCACTCCTCAATCCACTGGAGTGCTGGGCCCTACCAGCTGGATCTAGACCCTTCTGGACTTCCTTTGCCCTCAGTGGGAGATTATCTAGCAAGTATCTTCCAAGTGATTTTCATCACACTGCTGCCCCACCCTGGAGGTCTGGGTGATGTTGGTTGCGTGGACTCCAGCTCTTTCTCTTAACACGTACTTACAGTGGGGCAGGTGTGTACCTCTCACAGGCTGTTCTAGAAATAAGCGGAAATATTTCTTATCATTCCCCCAGTCCTCTGCAGTTCTGTGCAGTGCTTAGGGTGACGCCTCCTTCCCGAGGGGCTCTGGCATGGGAAGTCTGCAGCAGGCTGGTGCTGAGCATGCTAATGAGCGGGGATAGAAGGCGAGCGCTGTCTCTAGCACACATCCACAACTCTAACACACACGTTCTCTCCCTCTGTCCTATCCCTCTCTCCCTCTCTCTTTCCCTCAGTCCCAAGATGAGTCCTGCACTCCACCCCAGTAATGTGAAGGTAAGTGTAGCACTTGGGGTGTCCACACAGTGTCTGTCTTTTGGCTCCCCCACCTGTCTGTGCTTCCTAGCACTGTACTGATCTCAGCAGACCCCACACTTTTGAGTCCCAATCCTGTAAACGGTACATGTGGTCCTGTGTATGGGGCACCTGCATACCGTAGCTCCTTCCAGGCTCCCCATCCTCTGCCATCTCTGCACTGGGTAGGACCCCTCCATTATCGCCCGGAGGCTGGCCTTTTCTTTAGCTGGGATGGTTTCCTTTCTTGGCTTGTTACTGTGTTTTAAATTTTATTTATTTACTTTGTGTATGTACATGGATACGTGCCTGCCACAGTGAATGCGTGGAAGTCAGAGGACAACCTGGGACAATTGGCTCTCTCTTTCTACCATCCGAGTCCCCAGGGTAGAACTCAGGTCCTCAGGCTGGGCAGTAGACGTCCCACAGGAATGTTTTTCACTGACAAAAATCCAGGACTTACAGTCCAAAGTCAGTTTTCTGAATGAAGACTATGACAATTCATAAATTTCCCTGGTTCCCAGGGAGACACATATTATCCCCATTGTTACCAAGTATCAGTGAGAACTCGCTTCAGTGGTCAGCACACTACTATCTTCAGGCCATGCCCAGCCCATCATACTTCCCCATCCCCCACCTCAGTGCTGGAAATTGAACCCAGAGTGGATCCTGGGTGGCTAGGCAAGTGTACAGCTAACACCCCCAGCCTCCTCATGCTTGTCTCCCCCGCCCCTACCCCCTTCCCCCCCCCCACTTTCTCTCTTTTGAGGGCTTTTTGGTTTTGTTTTTTATTTTTTCTTTCTTTCTTTCTTTCTTTCTTTCTTTCTTTCTTTCTTTCTTTCTTTCTTTCTTTCTTTCTTTCTTTCTGTTTTTGTTTTTTAAAGACAGGGTCTCATGGTTTAGCTCTGGTTGAGGTCTGGCTGGCCTGGGACTTGCTATGTAAACCAGACTGGTCTCAAATTCAAAGGTCCACCTGCCTCTGCCTCCCCAATGCTGGGATTAAAGGCATGCACCATCACTCGTGGATAATGGCTTTTTCTATAACTAGAGACATGAGAATGGTTTTTTTAAGAGGTTGTGGGGAAGGCTGGAGACATGGTTCAGTGGTTCAGAGCAGGCACTGTTCAGTTCACTGTTCAGAGCAGAATGAACCCCAGTTCAGTCCCCACCACCCAGGGGATCTGATCCCTCCAGCCTCTGCGAGCACCTGCATGTACCTGCACAACCCACACACATACACGTACTTATTAAAAAACAAAATAACTCTTCAAAGGTTGGAGGGAAATGAGAAAACTGTTTTGTGTTGTGGGATGATCTTCCAGGCCTTGGAGCAGCTTTATTGGACCAGCATCACACATTCATCATCTACACATTGCCTGTTTTGGTTTGAATGTGCTCTGATCACTAAGTGTTGGGGTGGTGCCTACCGGGCTCAATCATCCTCATGGGACTAGATCCTGATGAAAGTGGTTGTTATGAACCAAGTTGGCTTTCCCGGCTTCCTTGCTCACCATATGACCTCTCTGCATGCACCTGCTCCCTCTTCACTTGGAATAGCACAAGGCTCTGCCCAGAAGCTGAGCAGACATACCTTCCAGGTCTTAGACCTCAGTCTCCAGAATGTGAGCTTGGCAAACCTCTTTTCTTTGAAGTTACTGAGCAGGTAACTTCTTCCAAAGGCATGCTTTTGGTAATTAAAAGTGTTAAAAACTCTGGGGAGGTAGAGGCAGGAGGTTCAGGTCAAGGCCACCCTTGGTTGCATCTTAAATTTGAGGCTAGCCAGAGTTACATGGGATACTGTCTCAAAAATAAAATCTCTCTCTTTCTCTCTGGTGTGTGTGTGTGTGTGTGTGTGTGTGTGTGTGTGTGTGTGTGTGTGTGTGTGTGTGTGTATGCTCAAGACATGTCATATGAAATTCTCAAAGAACTAATCAAAAAAAAAAAATGGCCAGGCAGTGGTGGTGCACACCTTTGATCCCAGCACTTGGGAGGCAGAGGCAGGTGGATTTCTGAGAGTTCAAGGCCAGCCTGGTCTACTGAGTTCCAGGTCAGGCTCCAAAGCTATACAGAGAAACCCTGTCTTGAAAAACAAATAACAACCACAACAAAAAGATATGTTGGGAACAGCAAAACAAATCAACGCCACCACCCTAATCTCTCATGTCAAAATACAAAAAACAAACCCCCAAACCACAGAACACGGGTATCTGGGTGACCATGTCTACACAGGGAGTCTCTGGAGCAGGGTTTTCTCATGATGTCACTCTATCTGCAGCTTGTCAAACAGCCAAAGAATCTAGCAACTCCAGCTTCTTCTGGCAACATTGTAGCAGCCCCCTCCCAGGCAAAGCCCATCGTGTCCCATCAGAAGAGGTGGACCCTGCCTCCTGCCTGCAGCTCAAGGGCCCAGCCTGCACCATAGGTAAGTGAAGGAGCCCACAGGGCAGGGAGAGCCCTTCGGTCTGCTGAGGGCTGCAGGGGAGGGCCAAGCACCTAGTTGGAGACCATGACTCCACATCTGCAGCTGAGGAGGATGCCATGCTGGGGAGGTGCATGCCTGCAATCCCAGCATGCAGCAGGCTGAGTCTGCAGGACTGACTGCAGCAAGTCTGAGGAGGCTCATTTAATCTACATAGCGAGCTCCAGGACAGACAAGGCTACATACGGAGTGAATCCTTGTCTGAAAAGAAAGCTGAACTGCTGGGCATGGTGGTGTAGACCTTCGATCCCAGCGCAGAGGAGGCAGAGGCAGGTGGATCTCTGTGAGCTGGAGGTCAGCCTGGTCTACAGAGCGAGGTCCAGGTGTACTAGGGCTGCATAGTAAGACCCTGTCTCAAAATAATTAACTAAAATATAAAAAATAAACAATGCCTTTATGAGGTAGATGACTGTCTGTCCTGCACTGTAATTTTTCTCTTTAACCAAATAATCAGATGGTGTACGCCTTTAATCCCAGCACTTAGGAGGTAGAAACAGGTGGATCTCCGTGAGTTCTAGGGCAGCCTGGTCTACAAAGAGAGTTCTAGGACAGTCAGGGCTGTTACACAGAGAAACCCTGTCTTGTGAAAAAAAAAAAAGTGGAGGCAGGAGGATCAGAAGTTCAAGGTCATCCTTGGTTATATAGAGAGGCAGTTTGGGCTACACAAGACCTAGTTTCAAAAAGAAAATACAGTTTCACCAGAATGCTAGGCAAGAGGACAGAACCCTTTATTTTCTTGTATGTTTGACTTATGAACTTTGAAAATCAAGAAATACCTTGTCTGCAATCTGGGAGCTGAATGTGAATCCTAAGTTTCTCTCTTTTGGGTCCAGATCTTGTGATTATTCTCAGAATGGTCTCAAACTACTGCACTTACAAGGTCTTCCCACCTCGACCTCCGGAACAAGACCCCCGAGAGGCTGGAGAAGCCAATACATTCTTTAGAAAACCAGCCTGTGGTTCCCTGGACATGCGGGGACTTTTCTTTGGAGAATTGATAAGAAGGCATGACCTTAACTTTCTCTCTTTTCTTCAAAACCCAGGCCACCATGCCCGTGAAGAAAGCTGTACCAGCTGGAGTCATCAAAACCTAGCCTCTAGCAAGGGAGCTGGAAGCCCTCCTAGTGACGGGGCTCCATGGCCTCACCAGGGAATTCCGCACATAGTGGTCCAGTGAGCCCCATCACCCCAGTGAGATACAGGATGCAGAAACAGCCTACAGCATCTGGCTTATTTCCATCTATCCTGTACATGAACAAGCTGCCAAAAATTAGAGCAGGCAGAGGTCGGCTGACTGCGGGAAGGAGGAGTCATCTGTGAACCAGTGGAGCAAAGGGCACTGAACTCCACCAGGTCAGTCGGTATCCCATGCTCAGCTCCCATGCTCTTGCAGACCGCTCTGGGTCAATGGCCTCGAGTGCTCCCCAAAATGGGCAATGTAATCAAACAGTTGCTTTTAGCTCGACAGCTGTTTGCCTGTATGGCTTGTATAAATTTGAGAATACATTCCGTGTCTTATGTGAAGCTGTATTAATCCTCCCCACACACACACATACACACTTTTTTAAACACCTCTACCCACTGAGCCTTCTTTTCTGGCCCTGGAAATAAATATTTTATTTTATTTTTGTTTGTTTGTTTTTCCAAGACTGGGTTTCTCTGTGCCTTTTCTTTTTTTTTTTTTTTTTTTAATGATGTGTCAAAACAGCCACCTTAGGGAGACCATGGTGGGAGTGTGGACTGGCTGATCGTATTGAATCCATTCAAGGAGGCCTAGGAAAAGAAGTGATCAGCTTCCTTTTCTTTTTAAAACTAAGTCTGGGATCCCAGTACATAGAGAGGGTGCTACCCATGTACTGTAGCATGGTTACATGGATTCCATGTATTCATGGCCCGTCTTCTCTGCTCAGTTAAACCTAATACCTTCACAGACACACCCAGGGGTGTATCTCCTAGGTGACTGCAGCCAAGCTGACATAGAAGATCCCCCTCACAGGGGGATTAGGCATGGGCATATAGAAAAGGCTTATCCCGCTGAGTTAAGGCAGTGACCAGGACAGTGGTCTCCACCACAATGAAGCAGACACAATGCCATTTATCTCCTGGGAAGAAGGGGGCAGCTAAGCGGACTTTTCCAGTACAGAGAAGGGCAGCTTGCAGAAGGACTAGGTGGAGGATGGCTACCTCCTTCAACATGAGACAATGGGTAACACGGGCCCAGGGGCCGGTTTGCGGGTTCGGCTACCATTTTGAACCACTTTAGGATGCTATGTGACATCTTTCAGCCATGTAGGAAAACTGCCTAACCTCCTCTAGCCCGCTTCCTCCATCTAGAGCACAAGCAGCCGCGTTCCCGGGCTGTTACACAGGTAAAATGACCCAGTACGCGTGACAGAACTCTGCGGGACACCTGGCACCAGCACGCACTCAAATCTTAGCTGGTCCAAGTGTGGACTGCTGTGGAGCTCCTCCTGCAGGCTCAGAGCTTTAAAATGATGATCTGAATGAGTCCCTGCCATGCTTTGAATGAGAATGGTCCCCATAGGTTCATATAATTGAACGTTTGGCCTCCCTAGTTTGTGGAAATGTTTGGGAAGGATTAGGAGGTGAGGCCTTGTTGGAGGAGGTGTGTCACTGGGGGTGGGCTTTGAGGTTCCAAAAGCCTCTAAGTGGAAAAACCATTTCCACTTAGTCCTCTCTATCCCTCTCTGCCTCATGGTTGTTGTCTCAAGAGGTGAGCTCTCAGCTACTGCTCCAGCACCATGGCTGCCTGGCTGCCGCCACATTCCCTGCCATGTTGGTCATGGACTCCCCCTTTAAGCCCCTATCGTCCCTTCTATAAATTGCCTTGGTCACGGTGTCTTACCAGAGCAGCAGAATAGAAAAGTAACAGTCCCTCCCATCAGCCGTCCCTTCTTGGACTGGACAGGCACACATCTCTGCAGGGAAGGTCAAATGTGTCCCAATTTAAGAGTTCAGAATGGAGCCGGGCGGTGGTGGCGCATGCCTTTAATCCCAGCACTCGGGAGGCAGAGCCAGGAGGATCTCTGTGAGTTCGAGGCCAGCCTGGTCTACAGAGTGAGTTCCAGGAAAGGCACAAAGCTACACAGAGAAACCCTGTCTCGAAAAACCAAAAAAAAAAAAAAAAAAAGAGTTCAGAATGGAGGCTCAGGGAACCTACACCAGCTGCCCCATGGTGTTCCCAACTACTTCTCTGAGGGTGGAAGAGGCGAATGATCCCCTCAGACATACTTAGTTTTTTAATATTGTCATTATGAAGAGTGGTGACATGACTTTCTCATTAAGATAGCCTGTCAACAACATGATAAATGATATTCTGCTTTCTTGATACAGGGTCTCATGTAGCCCAGGCTGTCTTCAATCTCACTATAGAGTTCAGGGTGATCTCGTCTCTAACTCCCAAGTGATAGCCACACATCTAGCTCCACTATGTTTTATTTTTGTGGTGCCAGGGAACCGAACCCATGGCTTCCAGCCACATGCGCTCTTCCACTGAGCTCTCTTAACCCTTAAAATAGCTTTTAAGTTCTCATTATGTAGTTCAGACTGGCCTTGAACTTGGGATCTTCTTGCCTCAGCCTTCCAAGTGCTGGGATTACAGATGTGTTTCACCATGCCTGGCTTAAGATTCAGCATTGATTTTGTTGTTGATGCTGGCGATCATACCCAGGACCTCATTCATGCTAGGGAAGAGCTACCTCTGGGCTACATCCCCAGGCCCTGACTTTTTAATACATTTGTGTGGTGGTATTGTGTTCCCCAAAATATTGTGCACCCTAATAAACTTATCTGGGGTCAAAGAACAGAACAGCCACTAGATACAGAGGCTAGAAAATGGTGGCACTCACACCTTTAATCCTAGCATTCCAGAGGCAGAAATCCCTCTGGATCTCTGTGAGTTCAAGGCCACATTGGAAACAGCCAGGCATGGTGACTCAAGCGTTTAATCCCAAGAAGTGAGCCTTTATTCCCAGGAAGTGATGGCAGAAAGCAGAAAGATATATAAGGTGTGAAGACCAGAAACCACATGGTTAGCTGGTTAAGCTTTCAGGCTTTGAGCAGCACAGTTCAGCTGAGATTCATTTGGGTAAGGACTCAGAGGCTTCCAGTCTGAGGAAACAGGATCAGCTGAGGAACTGGCGAGGTGAGGTAGCTGTGGCTTGTTCTGCTTCTCTGATCTTCCAGCATTCACCCCAATAACTGGCCTCAGGTTTGATTTTATTAATAAGAACTTTTAAGGTTCGTGCTACACATTTGTGTGGGAGTTGGTAGTGGGGAAGGGAGGCATGCACACCACATTCTAGAGGAGGTCAGAGAACAATGTGTGGGTGTGGCAGTTGGATCTCTCCCTCTACCATGTGGGGCCTGGGGGATCACTCTAAATTTGTGTGTGTGTGTGTATTTTGCCTGCATGTATGTGTATGGACCATACACATGCCCAGTGCCCTTGGAGTTCAGAAAAGAGTGTAAGATCCCCTGGGACTGGAGTTACAGATAGTTATGAGCTGCCAAGTGGGTGCTGGAAATGGAACCCAGTCCCCCCCAAGAGCAACAAGTGCTCCTAACTGCTGAGCCATCTCTCTAGCCTCCACTTTTAGTAGCTAAATAATTTTGTTATTAGAAAAAACCGTTTCCTGTAAACCTGAGTGCTGGTATTACAGCTGACTGTCACTACACCTGGGTGAGTTACAATTACTGACCCTGACCGATGTCAACCAAACCCTTATCAACACAGGCTCTCACTCTTGTCCTACACCTGCTGAGATGACATCCTTCAGGGTTTGACAGGTCATTAAACTAATAGCACTTCTAATCAGAAGGTTAAAGTATCAGAGAATTCCATTTACCACAGTAAACAGTTTATAGTCCTGAAGATGTGGTCCTGTGAAGAAAAGGGCCTCTCCCCTGGATAAAAATCTCCAGGCCACACGATTTCCCTGTGGGCTACCTCTGTATTTAGGTATTAAGGGGAGGCAGTGGGGTGTGTGTGTGTGGTGAGGCTCTCAAGGTACAACACAGCATTTGAGAGAAGTGTTTTGTGCTGGATAGTTTTATGTCAACTTGACACAGGTTAGACTCATCAGAGTGGAGGGAACCTTATTTGAGAAACTGCCTCATAAAATCAGGCTGTGGGCATGCCCATAGGTCATTAATTAGTGATTGATGTGGGAGGGTGCAGCCCATGGTGGGTGGGGCCACCCTGGGCTAGTGGTCCTGGCTCTCTAAGAAAGCAGAATCAGCAAGCCATGGGGAGCAAACCAGTAAGCAGCACCCTCCACAGCCTCTGCATCAGCTCCTCCTCCAGGTTCCTGCCCTGCTTGAGTTCCTGTCCTGACATTTTCCTTCAGTGATGAACAGTGTTGTGGAAGGATGACTTACACCTGGCCTGGTGGCCCACACCTTTAATCCCAGCACTCTGCAGACTGATCTCTATGGGCCAGCCAGGGCTACAGTGTGGCCCCTTCTTTAAAAAAAAGAAAAACCACAATACGATGACTCTACTCTTCTCCACCCGAGATTAACAGCTTGCCTGCCCCACTTCTTCTTTTTTTTTTTTTTTTTTAAAGATTTATTTATTTATTTTGTATACAGCATGTATGACTACAGGTCAGAAGAGGGCACCAGATCTCATTACAGATGGTTGTGAGCCACCATGTGGTTGCTGGGAATTGAACTCAGGACCTCTGGAAGAGCAACCAGTGCTCCCAACCTCTGAGCCATCCCTCCAGCCCCCTATTTCTTCTCTTAAACTCTAATAAGATTGTTTTCCGAAAAGGAAAAAAAGAAAAAGGTGGTTTCAGCCGTTTTATTATTTGCACCCTTCTGCCCCGGTACACATTTAAAGGCATTCTGCAGCTGTCTCTGTCACACCCTCGGTGGCCCCGACGTGCTCATCACTTGCGCCAGCGCTGCAGCTCTTGGGACAAACAGAGACAAATATGAGAACCTGGGAGCGCATCTCTTACTGGCTGTTTTTTTTTTTTTTTTTAATTTATTTATTATGTATGCAGAGGGCACCAGATCTCATTACAGATGGTTGTGAGTCACCATGTGGGTGCTGGGAATTGAACTCAGGACCTCTGGAAGAGCAGCCAGTGCTCTCAACCTCTGCGTCATTTCTCCAGCCCTTACTGGCTGTTTCTATCTCTGCTTGTTTAAATATTTTTGTTTCATAAACTTAGAAATCTTCTTGGTCCTAAGACCATCTGGCTTCTAGCTTCAGAGATGAAAAAAAAAAAAAAAGTAAGTCAGGTGCATAACCCCAGCAGCACCCAGGGACGGAGGTAGGACAAGAGCAACTTGGCTAGACACTGAAATGTCACATCTACCATGACTGCTACCACAGCAGGGGCCAAATAACCCTTTGGATTGGTTCAGCTTGGAGCAAGCACTGTCTTTAGGGAGACAGGATTTGGTTTTGGGACTTCTCATTTGTACTGGGATCCGGTGTTTCACTTGCGGCCCGATGCCTGGTACAGAGCTGGTGTTTATGGCATGATGTTCAGCATGCAGAGGTGTGCTGCAGGCCCACTCATGCTGAGTCACCCGGTCACCTGCCCTCCGGAGAGCCAATACACCGAGTTTTCATCTGAAATAGCCTAGGCTCCTGCTACCTCGTAAATTAAGGAAAAATACTAAACTTTTTCTGGGCAGTCTCCAATGAACTATGAGTTTTTTCTTTCTAAACTCTCTAAGAGTCTCTTTTTTAGATCAAGCTGGCCTCGAACTCAGAAATTCACCTGTCTCTTCCTCCCCAGTGCTGGGATTAAAGGCATGCACCACCACTGCCCTGCTCTTTTTTTTTTTAAACATTAAAAAACAGATTAAATAAGAGTTTTTGCCTACATGTATGTATGTGGTGTCTGCAGAAGTCAGGACAGTGTGTTGGACACTCTGGAATTGAGGTTATGAATGTGAGCAGCCATGTAGGTGCTGGGAACTGAACCTGGATCCTCTGTAAGAGCGACACGTGTTCTTAACCACTGAGCCATCTCTCCAGGCTCCAGATCTGTTTTTTTTGTTTTGTTTTTTAAAGTGATTTATTTTTATTTTATGTGCACTGGTGTAGGCATGTGTGTCTCTGGGGTCCCTGGAAATGGAGTTACAGACAATTGTGAGCTGCCATGTGGGTTCTGGGAATTGAACCCAGGTCCTCTGGAAGAGCAGCCAGTGCTCTTAACCACTGAGCCATCTCTCCAGTCCCCAGATCTGTTTTTATACTATTTAAATGAACAAAAGTTATCTTGAGTTATGAGAAAAGAAATTTTTGCATTTCCCTCCTGGTCAGGACTTCGTAGGAGTTCATCCGTAACTAAACAGGCAATACGGTCTGGTGTTCGGAATTCATTACCCTCCCACCCCAGCCTCTTGAATGATGGGATTATAGGCACATACCAGTGTGCCTGGTTCAAGGAGCTTGTTTTTAAACATTGAAGGTAGCCAGGCTCAGGGGCTAGAGATGGCTCAAAGTTAAAAGCACTTGTTGGATTTTCCGGAGGACTTGGGTTTGATTCCCAGCACCTACAAGGCAGCTCAAAACCACCTGTAACTCCAGATGCCTTCTTCTGGCCTCCATGGACACCAGACATGTACTTGGTATACAGACATGCAGGCAAAACACTCATACACATAAAAAATAAAATGAATTAAATTAAAAAACAAAAAAGCCAGGTGGTGGTGGTGCATGTCTTTAATTCCAGCACTCAGGAGGCAGAGGCAGGCCTGGTTTACAAAGCAAGTTCCAGGACAGCCAGAGCTGTTACACAGAAACCCTGTCTTGAAAAAAAACAAAACAAAACAAAAAACCAAAAACAAACAATAAGCATACAGCCTCTAGCCAGGTGTGGTAGCATGTCTCTGTCATCCTAGCTCTCGAAGGCTGAGGAAGACGGAGTGAGAGCTCGGGGCCAGAGGCCCGGGCAGGAGTGCTGAGGGTCAGTCTAGCCTGATCTGCACAGGGAGACCCAGTGAACGAAAGGATGGATGGAGCTGCTGTGTCTGAAGCACATGGACTATTCTGTTTCTCCTGCTCTAAGTGGCAGAAAGCCCTTCTATTCCACTGAGAACTCTCAGGCACCAAGGAGGGCACCTCTCCCTAGCAGGGACGGGTATAAAGCAGGAAAAACAAACCAACCCAAGGCCTCCAGCCCACCACCATATCACTAATGGGCAGCAAGAGCAGTCATGTACATGTAAGTCAAATCTTGGAGACCTTTAATGGAGCCCCAGAGCCCCGGGGACAGCTTGCTCATCAGGGCTCCTGGATACTCCCACCAGAGCCCCAAGGGAGATGACAAGTCACTTAAGCTACCGATGATGACGGCTTACTCATTTGCTTGAAGCTCCAGCTACAACACAGGATGAAGTAGCCAGCGAAGAGCATTGTGAGGCCCCCAACACTGCTCTTCTTTATGGTGGTACTGCACCTCACCCAGCCTGTGCAAAGAGAGGCAGATCACGTGGTTAGTGGCCAGGGTGTGGCCCAGAATGTTCGCACTGTTCAAGTCAGCCCTGTTAGCTTAGGCAATGAATTCTAACATGCACAACGTACAACGTACATGCCTACATAAGTGTGGGCTATACAAAGTATATACATTCCCAGAGATGACAACCAGGCTAAGCAGAGGAGGGCTTGGGTAAATTCAAATCGCATGTCCCCACACTGGGAGCTGGGTTAAACTCCGGAGCGATGCAGATGAATACGACTGGTTAGCTGAGGTTCAGCATTGCCTTGGCTGATCACTGTAGGGGAGGGGAGGGTCAGGGACAGGGGGCAGGGGTGTGTTTTAAGAAGTGGGAGCTGCTGCTCTGTTAGCTTTGGGGTTCTGAATGACACCCGACTCTGAAATGGAAACAGACGGAGAATGTCAACCACTGCTTTCTCTTCTCTTTGGTTAAACAGCCTCCAGTGGAGAAACTTCTCCACAAGCCTGCAGCCAGCAAGAGAACCCACCAGTCCATAACAGCAGCCTCACCTTTGTGCACAGCTCCCAAGAGCCTCGTTAGAGGGAAGCTGGAAGTTGTAAGCGCCAGGGGTTCCGAACTCCCGCTATCAGCCAAACTTCGTCCCAACCAAGGAACTACGGTTCCAAAGAGAAGTCACTGTGACAGTCCATCTAGAATCATCTCTTCCCACCATGCAGCCGCAAGTCCTAATGGCTAGGCCTCAGGAAAAGCACACCCCTGACAGATGGATCGATGAGCACCTCACTGGGCTGCAGTTAAACTACACACTGAAGTAAAATCCACCTCAGGTCAAAAGCTCTTATTGACAGAGACCTTGCACTGTGATAAATGTACTGTCTGCCCCCTATGTGTGTGCGTGCCTGGTCAAACCACGTTTTATCACCTGCGGAGATTTTGGCAAGAGGTATGACTTTCTACTACAGGTTGAGATGCATGTATCCTGAAATGCATGGACCAGAGAGTTTAGATTTTGGCCTGAAAAACATCTTGGACCATCTACATATGTATATGGAGTTATTTTAGGCCCCAAACCCAGAACCAAATATGGAATCTCTCTGTTCTCTGCTCCCTACCCCACTGGTGACTGAGCCCAGGATCTAAAAATGCATGTCCGTGTGTCCTCTACCACTGAGCTACATCCGCAGCCCCCAAATTCATCTTGGTTTCCGGTGAATTTGTCAGATAAAGACTTTTTTAAAGCATGCCTGTTTTGCCTGCAACCCTCCACATGGGACTAGGCTCTGGATCATCCCTTGCCAGGACTGTAGATGCCCATGTCAGCATTCACGAGGCTGTTGCTCATTCACGTGGACTTGACTTAGGGACCATTGACACACCTTAGAAAGACCTCGACTCCCTGTCACAGTCATCTTTATTTGTCTGTTCTGTGCCCCACGGCCCCGCCTTGGTTGAACCTTCCTATCACACTGACACACAAGTAACAAGTAGAAACAGAAAAGAAGGTACACGTTTCTTTTTCACATTTTCCCCTGTGCTTAAGTCAGACAGTGATCTCTACTGGTCATGGTTTTCCAGTCTCATTTTGCCTTGTCAAGACAAAGAATAAATTAGCTGGGCAGTGGTGGTGCATGCCTTTAATCCCAGCACTCAGGAGGCAGAGCCAGGAGGATCTCTGTGAATTCAAGGCCAGCCTGGTCTACAGCATGAGATCCAGGACAGGAAGCAAAACTACACAGAAAAATATGGTGATATTTTATTTGTATTAAAATGTTATTTGTATGTTAATAAATAAAGTTGCCCGGGGATCAGAGCTATTAGCAAGCCATAGGAAAGCAGGGCAGTGGTAGCGTACGCTTGTAATTCCAGCACTTGGTAGGCAGAGCTGGGTAAGTCTCTGTGTGTTCAGGGATACAGCCATTATTGGATACACATGCTTTTAATCTTAATACCAATCATGGAAAACCTGGAGGCCTATACAGACAGGCTGTGAGGAGGTGGTCATGTGGTTGGGTTTACAACCAATGAGAAGGCAGGACAGGAACTCTATATAAAGACTTTAACACAGGGGTAGCTCTGATTCGGAGAGGTAGGACCACCGCAGGAGGAAGGGTAAGGTTTTAGCTCTTAGCTCTGACCTCTTGGCTTTCTTCTTTGCATTGGTTCTGTGTTTATTATTTAATAAGAAGGTTGGATACATCTACATTTGGCGCCCAACGTGACAAGAATTCATTAAAAACCGCTTGGCTTGGCTTGGCGGCAGGTCCGGTTTCCGGCCTGGGCGGCCCGGCTGCCTAGCTTGGGCCCAGGCCTGACTGACCCGCAGCTGGAGCTACTTGCAACTGCTACAAACAACTCGGCTCAAGCGGCTACACTTTCTCTCTCTCTCTCTCTCTCTCTCTCTCTCTCTCTCTCTCTCTCTCTCTCTCGCTGGATTTACACCTCGAACACCAGGTGGCTGTGAAATTCCCTGGGATTCTACTGTTCTACCCAGACTTGGTAAGTCAATTAACATATCTATTTAAAAGAGAATTTTTTTCTACATTAAAAAAAAAAAATGGGCTTTATGTGTACATTGGAAGAAAATTGGGCTTTGTTTGAAATTTTAGGCACTCTGACAATGGAACAACTATATGAAAAGATTAATATTGATCGAATTATTCAGTTTATTACTTTTCTTATCCTCATTTTACTATTTAAAAAGATCGTCAACTTAAGTGCCAGGATAACAGTCTTAGAAAAACTTGTTAAACCGGTAAAAATGAATTATAGAGAAATTCAAATTCAGACAGAAGAAATAAATAGTGAAGTTGTTTCAAAATTGGATCGTAAGGTTACAGAAAGAAAGCCAGTTTTCACACAATCACCCTTAATTTATCCAGTAGCCGTACAGCAGCTACCTGATGAAGAGAATGAACAAAATACTTGGGTTCCAGTTGAAATGTTAGACTTACGAAGATTTAAGGAGGCAATAGCATCTTATGGCATGCACTCCCCATATGTAAAGCAAATGTTAAACACCTGGTCAACTTGTAATAGGATTCTACCAAAGGACTGGCGGGAATTGGCACAGGCTGTTCTTGAACCCGGACAAAATCTCCAGTGGAAAATGTGGTTCAGTAATGAGGCTAAAAATATAGAAAGACAATGGAGGGATAGCGGAATACAAGTCTGCCAGGATCAGCGTATTGGAGAAGGCCAATATGCTTCAGTACAAAACAATGTTCATATGATGTCCAAACCCTAGTTCTATGTCGAACGGCAGCTTTGAATGCATGGGACAGAGTTGAAGAACCAGGAAAAAAAACTGAGTCATTTACAAAGGTTATACAGGGCCCCAAAGAATCTTTCACAGATTTCTTACAAAGATTGACTTCAGCAGTACAAAAAATTGTCCCGAATTCAGAGGCTAGTCAGATAATAATTGAATCTTTAGCCTTTGAGAATGCAAATGCAGCGTGCAAAAGAATAATCAGGCCGTTAAAGGCAAGATCTGCACCTTTGGAAGATTGGATTAGAGATACAGTTAATGTAGAGGCTTATGACCATGATGATATGTGGGTAGGAAAAGCAATTTCAAAAGGTTTGAGCAATGTTAGATGTTTTGGATGTGGAAAGCAAGGACATTTGAAAAGGGATTGTAAACAGGTCATTCCTAGAAATAATGTTTCTTCAAGGAACACTGGCAACAGAATGCCCCTTCCTTCTGGAGTATGCAGAAGGTGTGGTAAGGGAAAACACTGGACCAACGAATGTAGATCAACAAGGGACAGACAGGGTAACCCTCTGCCTCGAGCTTCGGGAAACTCCCAGAGGGGCCTCAGGCAGGCCCCCACAGTAAATCCAGTTCAAACCTTTCCTGCAGTTGTAGAGGAAACCCCTACTCAAAGCAACTAAATAACCAAATGTCTATTGGAATAAATCATGTTAGTCGAGATGATGAAACAGAGAAAATAGGAAATACAGGAAAAAACATAAAGAAAATTTTTTGGCAAACTTCTATTAATGAACAAAGACCAAAACTAACAATAAAAATAAATGGTGTTTTGTTGTCTGGTCTGGTAGACACAGGTGCTGACATTACCATAATTGCACCAGAATTTTGGCATCCAACTTGGCCTCTTCAGGAGGTAAACATTCCACTCTTAGGAATTGGGACATTATCTAGAGTGAAACAAAGTGCAAGATGGCTTGAATGTATAGGTCCAGAAGGACAGAAAGGAAAATTAAAACCATATATGGCTAACATAGCTATGAACCTGTGGGGTCGAGACTTGTTACAACAATGGAATACTCAGATTAATATCCCTCCAATCTCAGAAACAAATCATAAATTAGTACATGTTTCTGAGAGAAATATTAAAAGATATTATTCTAATGAGTGCTCACCAGCCATCCATGTCATACAAGAACAGGGCACAACAACTGATAATCTTCCAAAAACACTAACAGCTCTACCTTTAAAATGGTCAACAGATAAGCCTGTATGGGTTCAGCAATGGCCTTTAACAACAGAGAAACTCCAGGCTTTACAAGAGCTGGTGAAAGAACAGTTAAATGCTCAGCATATTGAAGAATCAACCAGCCCTTGGAATTCTCCTGTATTTGTTATAAAAAAAAAAAATCTGGTAAATGGAGAATGGTAACAGACCTTAGAGCAATTAACAAAGTAATTCAGCCAATGGGCTCTTTACAATCTGGAATTCCTTTGCCTACTCTGTTACCAAAAGGATTGCCTCTCATAGTTATTGATTTAAAAGACTGTTTCTTTTCAATACCCTTACAAGAAAAAGACAGAGAAAGATTTGCTTTCACAGTGCCTACTTATAATAATTCTCAACCGGTTAAAAGATTTCAATGGAGGGTTCTCCCACAGGGAATGTTGAATAGCCCAACTTTGTGCCAATATTTTGTAAAACAGCCATTAGAAGTGGTACGTAAAAAATTTCCTAAATCTATAATTTATCATTATATGGATGACATTTTATTAGCTGATTCAAATGCAGATACTTTAGAAAGAATGTTTGAAAAAGTAAAGAAAATTTTGCCTTGCTGGGGATTACAAATTGCTTCAGAAAAGGTACAAAAAGGAGATTCTATTAATTATTTAGGATATAAAATAGAACTTCAAAAAATTAGACCTCAAAAAGTGCAAATTAGGAGAGATCGACTACAGACTCTTAATGACTTTCAAAGATTATTTGGAGACATTTCTCATCTAAGAACTATTGTTGGGGTAAAAAATGATGAACTGAATAATTTGTTTAAAACCTTAGAAGGTGATAAGGACTTAAATAGTCCAAGAGAATTATCACCTGAAGCTGAGAAAGAATTGGCCTTGGTAGAAAAGAAAGTACATGAAGGGCACGTAGATCGTGTTGATCCAAAGCTGGATTGCATTTTGGTTATTTTACCTTCTAGGCATTCCCCAACAGGAATATTAATGCAAAGGAAAGATATTATATTGGAATGGATATTTTTACCAAATAAACCAAATAAAAAATTAAAAACTTATGTGGAAAAAATCTCTGACTTGATTTGGAAAGGAAAATTGAGACTTCGTCAATTAGCAGGAATAGACCCAGCAGAAATTGTCGTACCTTTAACTAAGGAGGACATTGAAAAATTAAGGATAGAAAATGAAGCTTGGCAAAAA